GTACGCCGACCTAAAAAGGAAGCAAGCCGAATTCAGCCTCGGGGACAAGATCTGGCTAAGGATCTCGCCCACACGAGGGGTAATGAGATTCGGGAGAAAAGGAAAACTTAGCCCCCGGTTCATCGGCCCGTACGAAATCGTGGAGAGAATCGGAGACTTGGCCTACCGTCTCGCCTTACCCGTCGAGCTAGAACGAGTACACAACGTGTTCCACGTATCTCAGCTAAAGAAATACGTACACGATCCAAGCCACGTACTCCAACACGAGACCGTGGACCTCGACGAGTCACTAGTATACGAAGAGAAACCCGTAAGAATACTGGACACCAAAACAAGAAATACCCGGAACCGAGTCGTGGAAATGGTGAAGGTTCTCTGGACCAACCACGGGACCGAGGAAGCCACATGGGAACTTAAGGACACAATGAAGGAGCAGTACCCCGAGCTGTTCACTCCAGGTAACTAAGGGAAAACTTTCCTTTCTTGTTGTCACCAGGGCCAAGCTTCGGGGACGAAGCTTCCTGTTAAGGGGGGGAGAGTGTAACACCCCGTGTTACGGATCCTAAAACCAACTGATTAATTAATTAATTAATTAATAACCCAGGAGAAAGAATAAACTATAATGGTTAATTAGGGAAAAAGGCCACCATAGCCCATGGGCCCAATTATATAAACCCAACCCCTAAACCCAATAGGAATAAACTCTAAATAAACCCTTGGATCTATAAATAGGGAACTTAGGGAGCACCTAGAACCCCCTCCCACACGCCTAAACGCCCCATCGCCCCAGGAGAGCTCCAAGAATTCCCTTAGAAGAAATCAAGAAAGCAAGAAAGCTTAAAGAAAGATCCTTCACAGCCAAGGAATTAATTAAGGCTAAGAGGTAACCCATGTCTCAACAAAACCTATTTTCATAGCTATGATTTCCCCTTAGGGTTTCCCCCCATATTGTTGTAAATGGCAATTGATGATGATTATTATTGATGTCGATATAATGATTCCATGAGGAATCTTGATAATCTTGATATTGGGAGTTTCTTGATAATTATGATGTTCTTGATGATTAATTGGGGTTTTGATGATTATGTGTTGTTCTTGATAACTATGATGCTTTTGATGATTAATTGGTATCCTTGATGATTATGTGTTGTTCCTACCGAATCTTGCAATTAGAAGACGAATTGTATTCTTGTTGATATAAAAGTGATTAGAACCCTAGGTTGTATCGTATGATATTATTCTTGGATTATCGGGTGGGGAAATCGCATGTTTGGGTGTTGATTATGCATGATAGGTTAGGTGCCGTTCGTTTCTCGTATTTGATTCGTTAATTGTCTACGTGTTGTCGTTAATTGCGTTGTAAAGTGTCTAAGCATGGTTTCGGGTTCCACAACGGTTCCCGGGGCGAAAAGTGATGAAAAGAGTCAGTGGGGGGTAGGTGGGGGTAGGGGACTCGCCACCTACCCGTGGCAACTCCGGGCAGTTCCGGCAGCGGGCAGCCGGCGGGCGGGCAGCTGCCCGCCGGGCACCCGCTGCCCGGAACAGTGATGGCCGGCGGGCAGCCGGCGGGTGGACCCCCACCCACCGGCTACCCGCTGGAATCTTCCCCCCCTCGGGACCCCGGCTTCCCCGTTTGATGTTTCCCCGATCCCCGTGGTGTCCCAACGGACCCCGTTTGTCGTGCCTATGTCTAGTTTGGTATTTCGGGTACCGTTCGTAGGTTTATGAGTCGATTATATTGCTAGTATGAATTGGTATCCCCTAGGTGGTATCCGTTTGTCGTGCCTATCCCGTTGACCTAGGTGGAAGAAGTATGAACCCCTTAGGACTATTCTTAGTTGGTGATGGTTCACGCATAGGTTTATTTTTACGTTTATTCCCCTTCCCAACGTGTAATGTGGGTTGTATGTGCTTGCTATGTGTTATGTGTGCGTGTTGCCCCAATTCGGTTGCGATCGGATTGGTTATTCCTGAGCTGCGGTTCAGAAGCCGGCTACAGTCAGATGGGAATTCCTGGCTGCAGTCGGATGACGGTATCCTGGGCTGCGTTCCAGAAGCTGGTTGTAGTCAGATGGGAATTCCTGGCTGCAATCAGATGACATTTTCCCGAGCTGCGGTTCGGAGGCTGGCTGTAGTCAGATGGGAATTCCTGGCTACAGTCAGATTACACATTCTTATGAGCTGCGGTTCATCGGTCGGTTGCGATCGACCCCTCCGTGTTGCGATACGGGCCAGGGTGCTGCGGGGCCGTGTCAGAGCTATATGCGCTGACCCTCATGTATGGGCATGCGATTGGTCCTGTGGCACCAACAAAGTGTGTTATGTGTTGTGACATGGACGAGTTGTGATTATGAGTGTCTTGGGGGATGTGACTAAGGGATTTATATTAGGGATTGCTCATGTTGGGTTATGATCATTGTTTATGCTCTGCCTTATCTGTTGTGAACTGCATATGCCCGTTATAACTGTTGCTTGTGTCTGACCTTATCTGTCGAGTCATTCCCGGTTTTAAAGCTAGAGTTCGTAGGATATATTCTCATGCTCAAAATGGTTTTCGTATATCTATATATATCTCTATATGTATTGTATTTCAACACGTTGGAGTGGGTTACCAGCATCTCTCGCTGAACAGATATATTTGGCTTTCAGGCACAGAAGAATAAGTCACTGGAGAGCGCTAGTACTCGGAACGTAGAAGTAGTTAGCCCCCTTCGGCCTGCGTGCCATATTATGCATTTACATTATTGAGGATATTAGTTAGTTAGCCTGTGCACCTGGGTTCTCCAGCTCAGGTGTGGCATAGCACCCCGTACACTTGTATTATGTTTTGGGATTTAATGAGATAATACCTTTATTTTATAAGTTTTAAATGTCTTGGAAATCTGGGGTGTTACAAATACACCATGAATAATATCATACGATACAACCTAGGGTTCTAATCACTTTTATATCAATCAAGAATACGATTCGTCTTCTAATTGCAAGATTCGGTAAGAATAACACATAAACATCAAGAGCATCACCCAATTATCAAGAACAACACATAATCATCAAGAGCTCCATATAATCATCAAGAATATCAAAATTATCAAGAATCTCCCAATATCAAGATTATCAAGATCCCCCATGGGATCATCATATCAATCATCATCAATAATCATCACAAGTCATTAGTACACAATAATATGGGGGAAACCCTAAGGGGAAATCATAGCTATGAAAATAGGTTTTGTTGAGACATGGGTTACCTCTTAGCCATAATTAATTCCTTGGCTATGAAGGGTCTTTCTTTAAGCTTTGTTGCTTTCTTGATTTCTTCTAAGGGAATTCTTGGAGCTCTTTTGGGATGGTGAGTCGTTTATTGTGGTGGGGGGTTCTAGGTGCCTCTTAAGTCCCCTATTTATATATTTAGGAGTCGTAAATAGGAACTAATATTATAGGCTTGCTAATTCTATTCCTTTTGGGACTAAGGATTGGGTTCCATGGTCCATAGTGGACCATATTAATTAATTAAAGAGAATCCTAATCATAATCTGAATAGTAAAAGACCTACTTCCTTTATTCCTAATAGATAACTAGGTCTAGGATTCCTAATCAGAATCTGAATAGTAAAAGGTTTACTTTCTTTATTCCTAATAGGCTTAAGGCTCTAATTTAGGCAAGGGCCCACGGTTCATGGTGGGCCTTATTAACTAATTAAAGGGAAACCTAACCGAATTAAATCATATTTAATTATTATTAACGGGATTAATTAAATAATTAATCCGGGATTGAAGGCCGTAACACGGGGTGTTACAGGCTCGGGCCACTCCTTCGTCTACTACACCCGCTGGCGGCGATGTGCTTATGACCCCCGAGGCGGCCCAACATGGTGTGACGTCGTTTGTTGCGGCTCCCTCGGAACCTGTGGCCGGATCTGGTATTGTCGGGAGTGTAGACCCTTCTGATCTCCATCTCACTATCAACTCAGGCTCTGGATTTTCTAGCTCAGCTGCTGCTTCTGCGGCCCAATAGTTTTCTTTTTTTTTTTTTTTCTTTTTTTTTTTTTGTAATTTCGGAAACCTTAATAATCTAGTGATAGTCTATTTTCGCTCATCTTCTTTTTTTTTTTTTTTTTTTTGTAATATTCGGATATTTCGGCAACTTTAATAATCTAGTGATAGTCTATTTTCGCTCTTTTTATTTCTTTTTTATTTTTTTTTTACGAACAATTTGCCGCCAAATACATGCAGCTTGCCGGGGGCAAGTCCGCGCATGTGGATTGCGATAACCCACATGCCCCATCTGCCAAATACATGCGGCTTGCCGGGGGCAAGTCCGCGCATGTGGGTTGCGATAACCCACATGCCCCATCCGCCAAATGCATGCGGCTTGCCGTGGGTAAGTCCGCGCATGTGGGTTGCGATAACCCACATGCCCCATCCGCAAAATACATGCGGCTTGCCGGGGGCAAGTCCGCGCATGTGGGTTGCGATAACCCACATACCCCAACCGCTAAATACATGCTGCTTGCCGTGGGCAAGTCCGCGCATGTGGGTTGCGATAACCCACATGCCCCATCCGCCAAATACATGCGGCTTGCCGGGGGCAAGTCCGCGCATGTGGGTTGCGATAACCCACATGCCCCAACCGCCAAATACATGCGGCTTGCCGGGGGCAAGTCCGCGCATGTGGGTTGCGATAACCCACATGCCCCATCCGCCAAATGCATGCGGCTTGCCGGGGGCAAGTCCACGCATGTGGGTTGCGATAACCCACATGCCCCATCCGCCAAATGCATGCGGCTTGCCGGGGGCAAGTCCGCGCATGTGGGTTGCGATAACCCACATGCCCCATCCGCCGAAGGTCTGTAACACTCAATGCAATGTGTGAAAATTGCGGATATTATTAACATGCGACACAATGTCATCTACGAGGGAATATATAAATCACTTACGATGCAACGTACCACGGTAATGCCATGGGAGTCGCATTATTTGTCATACCTTGGGCTATTCTATTTACTGAAAGAACCTTCGTAGGTGGTGGGCGTTCCAAACGCGATCCACGGTCCTACCCTGCATTTTTTTAAGTTTGTAAGTGTTTTTGGCACTGACTCCGCCACTTTGTACGGCCCCTCCCAATTCTTGGCTAGCTTGCCCCCCCTGAAGTGGTTTGCTGGCTTCTCGTCGTCGTAGGACTAGGTCGCCGACCTGGAAATTGCGGGGGCATGTTCTTGCGTCGTGGTAGCGTTTAATTGCCTGTTGGTAGATAGCAATATTTCGCCTGGCTGCCTCCCTCCTCTCTTGTACGAAATTCAATTCAACCCGGAGGTCTTCATCATTCTGGCCAGGTTGGAATCGCGTGTTCCTACTCGCAGGGGTTATCACCTCTACTGGTGTCCGTGCCTCGCACCCGTATGTGAGTGCGAAAGGGGTATCCCCCGTTGCTTTTCGGGGGGTTGTTCTATAGGCCCATAATATGGACGGTAGTTCCTCGTACCAGGTGGACCCCGTTGCTTCGACTCTCTTCTTAATTCCGTCAATGATGGTGCGGTTGGTGTTCTCCACCTGACCGTTAGCTTGGGGATAGGCTACGGCGACCTTGATATGCTCCACTCCGTAATAAGCGCAGAAATGAGCGAATTCTTGGTTGTCAAATTGTTTGCCGTTGTCGGACACGATTTGGTGGGGTAATCCAAATCTCGTGAAGATATTTTTCCATACAAATTTTCGGCACTGGGTCCCCGTGATGGAGGCAAGGGGCTCTGCTTCTACCCACTTGGTGAAATAATCTATGGCCACGATTAGGAACTTCAGGCCTCCCACCCCTTTGGGGAAAGGACCTGCCAAGTCGATGCCCCAACGCGCGAATGGGATGGCTGAAGTGACCGGGGTGTAATAAGATGCGGGCTTGCCGGGTAAGATCGTGAATTTCTGGCATGTAGGGCACTTCCTCACGTAGTCCTGGCAATCGGATCTGATGCGGGGCCAGTAATACCCTTGCAAGATAATTTTCCTGGCCAGGGTTTGGGCGCCCTGGTGTACAGCGCACACTCCTTCGTGGACTTCCGCTATGACTTTGTCGGCTTCTGCTCTGGTTAAACATCGGAGCACAGTCCCTCAAAAGGATAGTTTGAATAATCTTCCTTCAATCATCCGGTAAGACGGGGCCATGGACACTATTTTCCGTGCTCGTTCAGGGTCGTGGGGTGCGAGACCTTGTTCCTTGTAATGGATCATCTCCTACATCCATTCATCCGGGGACGGTATTACAGCCAGGACCTCGTCCTTATCTCTGCTGGGGGCATCGATGTCAATTGTCCGAGCTATCTTAGACACATAACTCAGGTGGTCTTCGACACCTTGAGCCACGCGGGACAGAAGGTCTGCCTCGCTGTTGTCGGTCCTTGTAATTTGGGTTAGTTCCCACCGCTCTACGGATGCCAATAGTCTTTGGACTACATCCCGGCACTGCCGCATCCTGTCTTCCCGTGCTTCGAACTGATTGTTGACGTGGCCCACGACCAGTCGTGAGTCTGACCGAATCTTGAGGTGGCGTGTTTGCAGGGCCCGGGCCAACCTCAGGCCCCCGATCAATGCCTCATATTCGGCTTCGTTGTTGGATAGAGGGAAGCAGAATCTGAAGGCTTGGTAGGCCTTGAATCCTTTCGGCGAGATGAGCACGACGCCACCGCCGCAACCCTTTTTACTCGAGGCGCCATCGGTATACATTTCCCACTCTCCTGCGCCTTCTTCAGTCTGCCTCTCCTGGCGTTCCGAGATGGTGCATTCCACGATGAAGTCAGCGAGGGCTTTACCCTTGATAGCTGTGCGGGGGCGATACTCGAGATTATACTGGGAGAGTTCGACCGCCCACTTCACCATGCGGCCTGACGAGACTGGGTTTCTCAAGATGGTACCCAGGGGCTGGTCTGTCAGGACAATTACATGGTGTGCTTGGAAGTAGTATACCAGTTTTCGGACCGTTCTCACGAGGGCGTATACTATTTTTTCAAGCGGGTGTACCTGAGCTCGGCGTAGTAGATAGGTTTCTGGATGCATGTTTCCTCTCTGAGTAGCACCGAGCTAATGGCCGCGGGTGCTACCCCGAGGTATACGTACAATGTTTCCCCTTTCTCTGGCTTGGAAACTACCGGTGCCGCGGACAAATATGCTTTAAATTGATCGAAGGCCTCCTGGCATTCCGGGGTCCAGGTGAAGCCGCTCCTTTGCTTCATGACCTGGAAGAATGGGAGGGACTTCTCCGCGAGCTTGGACATGAATCTGTTCAAGGCGGCCAGCCGGCCGTTGGGTCTCTGGACATCTTTTATCGATGTTGGGGGCTGCATCTTGAGGATGTTCTGTGCCTTTTCGGGGTTAACCTCTATCCCCCGGTGAGTGACCATGAACCCCAGGAATTTTCCCCCCGTCACTGCGAACGCGCATTTCTTCGGGTTCAGGCGTAGGTTCTTCTACTTCATAATCTCGAAGCATTGAGTCAGATATGCTGGGTGGGTACCGGCATCCTTGCTCTTGACCAGCATATCGTCCACGTAGGCCTCCATTATGTTTCCCAGGAGGTCCTTGAATATCTTTGCTACCATACGGGTAAATGTGGCCCCGGAATTTTTTAAGCCGAACGCCATGACCCGATAACAATATATCCCATCTGGGGTCACGAACGCCGTTTTCTCTTCGTCTTCTTCTGCCATGAAGATTTGGTGGTACCCTTTGAACGCATCCATAAAACTCAGCAACTCACATCCCGATGTCTCGTCTACCAACTGATCCGTGCGGGGCAAAGGGAAAGGGTCTTGGGGGCATGCCTTGTTTAAATCCGTGTAGTCCACGCACATGCGCCATGTGGGCGGCTTCGGGGCTAGGACCGCGTTGGCCAGCCATGCCGGATACATTGCCTTCTGTATATGCCCTATCGCTGGGAGCTTGTCTACTTCTGTCTTCACGAATGCCCTCCTCTCAGCTGACAAGTGTCGTCTTTTCTGCTTAACGGGTTTGAAACTGGGATCTACCGCCAGTCTATGCGATATGATGGAGCGGTCGATCCCGGGCATATCTTTGGGACCCCACGCGAATATCATCGAGTTATAACGAGCATATGCAGTTCACGACAGATAAGGCAGATAAGGCAAAGCATAAACAATGATCATAACCCAACATGAACAATCCCCAATATAAATCCCATAGTCACATCCCCCAAGACACTCGTAATCACAACTCGTCCATGTCACAACACATAACACACTTTGTTGGCACCACAGGACCAATCGCATGCCCATACATGAGGGTCAGCGTATATAGCTCTGACACGGCCCCGCAGCACCCTGCCCCGTATCGCAACACGGAGGGGTCGATCGCAACCGACCGATAAACCGCAGCTCATCATAGTGTTTGATCGCAACCAAAAAGTGGACCGCAGCCCAAGAGAATGTCATCTGACCGCAGCCAGGAAAGAGGACGAACCGCAGCTCGTATAGAAACGTTTGATTGCAACCAAACGATGGACCGCAGCCCAAGAGTATCAATATGACCGCAGCCAGCTTCTGAACCGCAGCTCAGGATAACCAATCCGATCGCAACCGAATTGGGGTAACACACACACATATCACATAGCAAGCACATGCAACCCACATTACATATTCGGAAGGGGGAGAAAGCGTATAACAAAACCTATGCGTGATCCATCACATACTAAGAATAGTCCTAAGGGGTTCATACTCCTTCCACCTAGGTCAACGGGATACCAATTCAACTAGCATGCAATATAATAGACTCATTAACCTACGAACGGTACCCGAAACATCAAACTAGACATAGGCACGATAACAGAGTCCGTTGGGACACCACGGGGAACGGGGGAACATCAAACGGGGAAGCCGGGGTCCCAAAGTAGGATAATTTCCAGCGGGTAGCCGGTGGGTGGGGGGCCACCCGCCGGAGTGTACTGTTCCGGGCAGCGGGTCGCCGGCGGGCAGCTGCCCGCCCGCCGGCTACCCGCTGCCGGGCGGTGTTTCTCGGCCGTGGGTAGGTGGCGGGTCCCCTACCCCCCACTGACTCTTTTCACACAATAACATCACGGGAACCTTTGTGGAACTCGAAACCATGCTTAGACACTTTACAACGCAACTAATAATTAACACGTAGACAATTAACGGATCAAATACGAGAAACGTACGGCACATAACCTATCATGCTTTTCTAAACATAAACAACACCCAAACATGCGATTTCCCCACCCGATAAACCAAGAATAATATCATACGATACAACCTAGGGTTCTAATCACTTTTATATCAACAAGAATACGATTCGTCTTCTAATTGCAAGATTCGGTAAGAATAGCACATAAACATCAAGAGCATCACACAATCATTAAGAACAACACATACTCATCAAGAACTTCATATAATCATCAAGAACGCCATAATTATCAAGAATCTCCCAATATCAAGATTATCAAGATCCCCCATGGGATCATCACATCAATCATCAATAATAATCATCACAAGTCATTAATACACAATAAAATGGGGGAAACCCTAAGGGGGAATCATAGCTATGAAAATAGGTTTTGTTGAGACATGGGTTACCTCTTAGCCTTAATTAATTCCTTGGCTATGAAGGGTCTTTCTTTAAGCTTTGTTGCTTTCTTGATTTCTTCTAAGGGAATTCTTGGAGCTCTTTTGGGATGGTGAGTCGTTTATTGTGGTGGGGGGTTCTAGGTGCCTCTTAAGTCCCCTATTTATATATTTAGGAGTCCTAAATAGGAACTAATATTATAGGCTTGCTAATTCTATTCCTTTTGGGACTAAGGATTGGGTTCCATGGTCCATAGTGGACCATATTAATTAATTAAAGAGAATCCTAATCATAATCTGAATAGTAAAAGACCTACTTCCTTTATTCCTAATAGATAACTAGGTCTAGGATTCCTAATCAGAATCTGAATAGTAAAAGGTTTACTTTCTTTATTCCTAATAGGCTTAAGGCTCTAATTTAGGCAAGGGCCCACGGTTCATGGTGGGCCTTATTAATTAATTAAAGGGAAACCTAACCGAATTAAATCATATTTAATTATTATTAACGTGATTAATTAAATAATTAATCCGGGATTGAAGGCCGTAACACGGGGTGTTACACTCTCCCCCCCTTACGAGAAGCTTCGTCCCTGAAGCTTGGAAATCATTGCAGGGTTAACGAGTCAAGAGAAGAACCGTGGTCCTATAGAGAAGGTATTCCATGGGGAAATTGTATACTTGCACGCCTATGTGTGTTGGGTTTTTGGGAACGATTAGGTTTACAGGGCTAAGAGAGTGGGTTTCAAACTTGAGGACACTGTGAATTCAGGAATTAGGATCGAGTTTTCGAGGTTGCAACTTAGGTTGTGAGGTTGCCACTTGTATGGAATCGTTAAAACATGGGATTGAGAATGGGTTCTAAAGGGTAGAAAGGGTTTTGAAATAAGGAAGGGGCCGATTTTCCGAGGGAGGGAAAGGAATTCGGCTAGGATGGGTTAAGGTTTCTCGATCCCAAGTGAATAATCTGGTTAGATGCTTTGATCACGATGCGCCAACGAGCTGATGATCCTCCTTCCTTGGTGTTGGTGCTTGCTTGACTTTAAGGTCCTTGTTAGACCTTGCTTCCCAGGCTAAGGTTTCATCCTTCTCTTCTTTCTTAAGGGAATTTCCCGTGGTGATTCAACACTTACTTCTTTAATGCGCCCAAGGTCTTGACCGAGTTGGGTCAACCACGCCAATCTCTTAGGGCGCACTTCCCAAATTCTTCCCAAAGTCTCTTGGGAGTCGATGAACTTTGGGTTGAATTTCTCTTCTTATTGAATTTCATCTCCTCTTTAGTGGATGAAATTCTTAGTAAGACTTCATGTCTTACCCGAGGTTTGGTATTGTTGTGCCCTGTTTGTGTTATTTTTAATGATGAAGGTGTCCTAGCGTGCCCTTTTTCTTTTAAAGCGCAGTCGGTTACCAAATTTCGTTGTGGGATGGCTCAGCGACTTTACGAGTCACCTCATTTCCTTGTGGGTCCTTAATGACCCTTGAAGTCTTGGCGCGAATGTGTTCTTCACCCTTTTGCTTAGCACCATGGGCTGCGTAGTTCTTGGTTCCATACAACTTGTAAGGAATCCTCTGATTTGCTCGAACGATGTCCATGGTTTGGAGGAGTCCCGGTCCCTCCTTAGCATTTTGACTTTTAAGGTTTTCGTGGGTTCTTAGTACGAGTTCCCAACTCGCCTCCTTGGTTTGCGCAATCCTTTATGCCAAACATCCCTAGTCGGTTGTATCGTAGGATCCGATTTCAATTACTCGTGCAATGTAATTGATTGTGATTTCCCGATGGTGTCTCGTGCGTCAAGGTCTTTTACGTAGGACACTATGTTTGGGTGGTCCATGGTTCCTTACCCAAGACTCACATTCCTCAATCGAGGCACACAAGTGCGCCACAAATCAATAAAATGAGGGGTTAAGAAATCAGCACATTGTACCAGTGGGCGCGAGGTGGGCGGTCGTCCGCCTGCCAAGCTCCTACCAAGGACCCGCCAAGGTCCCGTCAAGGACCCGTTGGGGACCCGCGGGAAAGTGACTAGGAATAGTCAATTCCTTCGGGAAAAACCCCAAAAATGCACAGATTCATGTCCTGACAAGTCCCAAACCCTTGTGCACAATAAAAGGGACTTGGATACATAGGATGGCCCATCGTACAATGTTCATTGATCCTTAAGCACGAGTTCTAGAGGTAGATATACATACATATATATATATCTATGTTTTCTTGGTCTGGGTTTAAAGGGGTGTAAGAAGTGCAAGGGCTAGGTTTCAAAGTCGAGGGGCGGATAGGGTCGATGTCTCAAGGTCATAATACAGGAAGGAAGGTTGCCACCTTGTACGGGTTTGTCTGTAATGAGGGATCAAGAGCGAGGTTTGGAGTGATAGGATGGATTCTTTAACGAAATGGTACTTCATTGGCAAGGGGAGGGAAAGGGGCTAAGGACTCTTGGCTTCGAGTGATTATGCCTGTTTGGGGCTTGGTTGTGGCGTGCAGTCGAACTGGTGATCCCTTTTCCTTGGCTTTGTTTGATTTTAAGATTTTCGTTTGATCTTCTCTTCCCGTGTCGAAATCCCCTTCGTCTCTACGGCTTCCAGGGGAATTCTCGTGATGGTTTCCGTGCACGTTCCCCTCGGATGTCTAGAAGTCTGGACCCAGTCGGTTTAGTGGGTCAAACCCCTAGGTCTTGACTCCTAATCCTTGCCGAGGGTTCTTAAGGGTAAGGGGGTTTCGGGTTAGTCTTTCTTGTTCTACTGGGTTTCATCCCTTCCTTGGTGGATGAAATTCTTAGCAAGGCTTTATGTCCTCCTTGAGGTTCGGCCTGTTGCACCTATTTGACGATGTTTTCTGTAGCGAGGACCCCTGACACATTGAAAGTATCTGTTTTCCCGCTCTTGTCAACGCATGGCGTTCTTCGGTAGCGTACGTACAGGCTATGGTTTCTCGTGAAGCCTTCACGGTTTTCGTGCAAGGGTGGGGTGATACGTATTCGTAACCTCCACCTACTTCGCCGATTCCTATCTAACAACTTATTTTAATATTGAATCAATGAATGTCGGTTCTTCACGCCCCTGGGCAGGGTAAGGGCCTTATGCTGCTCTACGGTTTTTAACAGGGTTTCCAAACGGAGTGGGGATATGAACTTAGAGTAAGGGCAATAACAATTTAGGGTTTCCGAGGGTTTGGGTTAAGCGCAACAAAGGGTGAGCAAGGTCATGACGGTTGCGAATTTGCTCTTAAGGTAATTAAGGATTCGGGGTGGGAGTTTTCAACAAATAGGGGTATCAAGATGCTGGGGTTTCAGGGCGGATGATATTTTAAATTGGGGAGGTGGGGTCGCAAGGTGTCGCGATATACTTACCTTGCACCCAAGGATTCGACTAATGGTGTCGTTCCTTTGCTACTTTAATAGGTGTCCTAGTTCTCCTTCCTGTTTGTTGTAGCCGCAACCCAGGTTTGCCGAGATAAGGCAACTTGTCGGAAGGTGCATGTCATTTGTCTGACTCGGGGTTATCGTGGT